CGTGAAGAACGTCAAGGGGCCACGGGGAGTCATTTTCACAGCCCTGATTCGGCACAGTGAGGCCTGGTGCTCATTTCAGCTAAATGCCTAGCAGATATGGAGAACCAGACTAATAAACACCCTGAGTAAACTCTTAACCCTGTCAGGAGGGAACAGGTCCTAGCTGACTGTGATGTTATGGTTGGACAAACAGATAAGGCTGAGAACAGAAAGCTGGGTCTTTTTCATATCACCTTGTAGTGCAATCGGTGCACAAAGGCCATTGTGTCATTCAAGTCCAAAAAAAAATAAAAATAATACAAACAGTTCCTGCTACACTGGATTACACCCCCCTTACTCATTTAAACACCTTATCAATTCTACCCAGGATGCATCATACAATACGTTCCCTCGCATACGGTAGCGAGGATGCATTGTGTCGGTGGTGACTAAGTGACACATTTTGAATGGAATTCTGGGTAAACAGGCCCTGATACAAGACACACGGGCGTTGGAGATTACATAACGGGAGGGGACCACCATTTGATTGCTTACGGGTGATTAATGTGCCGTTTCTGACAGCACCGAAAGCCTCAAAGCACCAAACCCGAGAAAACAGGGCAGACATCCCCCTAACTGAGACCGTTTAACACTCAACAAAGGCAATTCAGCTCCTATTACCCAGGGGTCATTTTCAATATGACAGCGGAAGCCAGATTAAATTACACCAACTCTTAATGCTTATCATTTCATCCCGAAGCAACCCCCCACCCCACCCCACCCCACCACACCACAGCCTTATCCAAACAATCAGCAAGAGAGGCATCCACCTCTGGAGGACACGTCCCCCATGACTGAATCGTGAAATGCTACACCAAAGCGGCTCACTTTCAGGACAGTCTCCCACTAAGGCTGGGACGGGGTTGAATACAAAGTGCTTTATATCCCACCGTTCAGGCTCAAACAGCACCGGAGCAACGAGACGATAAAATGCATCATGGACCCAGGGGAACTCTGCGATTACCCGGCTGTTTTGTCAGGGCAAAAATGAAAAAAGAAAAAAACGAAACCTCTGAAGTTCACCAGAGGTTCACCACATCACCAGAATCTCTCATTTCAACAGGAATCTAAGATGGATCGCAGATGTGCACTATGAAGAGGACATATAGGGAAAAGACATATTTTCTCATATATTTACAACCTGCCCTCTCAAAGCACCCTGAGGGACTGATTGCTCATGTCGAAGCAGTGCTGAGTAAACTCTTAACTTGCACGTGACGGAGGGACACAAGCATTTCATTTCCGTCTGTCACAGGTACAGTCATGGCAGCTTGACCTGAAGACCAAACCTGTAGCACCACATGATCAACAGGACACTGAAACGGCTTTTCAGCCTCAAGATTAACAACGGATTAATACCTTTTAGGGTAAAATTATCCATTTAGCAAGTCAGATACGTAGCTGGGTCAAATTTGTGGTGTAGCAAAAATAAAACCCATAAATGAAAAACTGAGAAGCATTTAGTTTTAAAATCATACAAACTGTTCCGTGTTATCTGACTGATGACTATATCCTACTTCAAGCAAGTGTTATGCCGAAAAACGCATCCCTGCCGAAAAAGCCTAAGGCATCCCTGCCTTAGAATGCATGCCGGTGTTCCGACGAGTTGAGCTTTTAAGGGTTTTTTGGGGGTCAGGGGTTTTTTAGGGGTTAGGGTTAGGGTTTTAGGGGGGTTTTGGGGGTTAGGGTTTTAGAGGTTTTTTGGGGGTTAGGGTTAGAGTTTTACGGGTTTTTTGGGGCTATTGATTAGCACTACGGTAGCCTTACTCGACAAAGTAGCTCAACTCGTTTCAGATCAGCGACCAATCGATCATTTAGAGACAGGCATGCATTCTACGGCAGGGATGCCTTTTTCGGCATAACACCAGCAAAGAAACTAGAGCAGTTGTTACCACGGCACGACCAGCGATAGATTTATGAGCCAGTGTTTTGTTTATTTATTTTGCCTTTATTACGGGGTTGTGCGCGCGCACAGACTTTCTCACGCCATCTCTGCAGAAGTGAGAGTATGGAGGGGATTCACTGTAAACTGTACATTACTGGACAGTATCTCGACAGAAACCATCGCTTTCCAACTGCAAAGCCACCCCAACCTAAAATCTACCCTCGGTATGAAATAGGACAGATTTCCCTCCCCAGATCTCTAGGAGGTCCGGAGTCCTTGATGCCCTGCAAGTCCGGCCAAACGCCGCCTTCCCGTGCCCTTTACATGCCGTCGGTCATACAGGTTACACGTCTTCCCCGCATTTATTTTAAACTTTAAAATTGCCATTGTGAAGCTTTTTCGTTTGCAGCATTTCATCTTGAATGCTGTCCTGATGGGTAAATAAAAGGAAACCTTTACACCCTCCCTTATTAGAATGTAATGATCGCTGTTTGGTGCGTCCACCTGCGAAAGCTCTCTTACATTTGTACCATTTAGAAAAACTAGAAAGAGAAAAGAAAAAAGGTTACATTTATACACGAATCTCAGACGTCTGAGGCAAAGGCCCTCGATCCATAAAACGAAACCGGATGCGGCGGGAGCTTCAGATTATCGGACCGATAATGTTTAACAGGGTGCAGTGAAGTACAACACCCACATTATCAAATCACTTTTCTTAATAAAAGGGATTTCCAAAAACAGTAAGGCTGTGCTGATATGCGTAATGTTGTGCGCTCAATGATTAAAAAGGAGTGTACTACTCATAGTAAATCAGTAATTTAAAAATATCCCCAAATAAAAACATGGTATTAAAGAACTGAATAAAAGAAAAAACTAAAGTTTCAGGACAGTTATAACGAAACCACCTACGATATCAAACTAATTAACTTTAATCAAACAGTACGTGCCATAAACAACGGCGTAGGAGAGTTAGATATTGGGGGAACACAACTTACATAAAAAGCTCTATTTACTGGGGGAAGAATTAATCCAAATTAAATACTGGGAGGTATCCGACCCCCGGTTCCTACTCCCCTACCGATAAATATTGTGTGTATTAATGTGATACCAAAATGCGACAAAACTGATGGCAAACTGATGACAAACGGTACAGAGTCTTAACACCACACGACATAATTATTTAATTTGCTTTAATTATTCAGACTGGTGTCCAGTTAATCAAAAAGCAGCTAAAAATCCCTTTACGCGTGCTCGTAAAAATCTAAAATGTTGGCTTCAGTAGACTCACAAAATCATTAACAGTATTTTAAATAACACGCGCATGTATTCGTTGAGCTAATATTGTACCCAACATAATTCTCGCTAGATCAAGAATCAAACAGAATCGGTAACTCACCGGCATCATTTTAGCTTCGTACCGCATTTAAACCTTTGACAAGTTGATTCTTTGATCTTATATTAAACTTGAAGGCGTGTTAGACAGTCCTGCGGTCCCGAGGAGAAAAACCCACAATGGGTAAACTAGCTCCCGTTCACTTCCTCTTTCTGCTTATATGCGGTCGCTTTTAAAAGTCTTCGCATTGGAAATGCAGCCTATGTATCCGATCGCTCCCTAGATCCGGTTACAGTCCAGGCCACTTTTTGGAAACCTAATTAGTCCTCCTTCGTTGAAACCTGTTGCAGGGGGACTTCGAGGCCTTCCTACAATCACGAAAGTTTTTTACTAAGCGAATTCCTAGTTTCACTACGAGAAAACCCTCCCACGGGATGTAAGCCTGCCCGGTTCATTTACTTCAGGCAGCCTTGCAGCTGGGTTTCAGGCGGCAACGTACAAACGCCATCGGGAAGAAAAGAAATCCATATACGTGCGTTTATTCTAAGCTAAATTCTCAGGTATACATGCAAACGTCAAACCGTCTCGCTGGAAAGTGCCGAAGACACCGTGCCTGGCCAAACTCTTAAACTGCAGCCCAGCTCTGGGTGACGTTGTGCGGAGAAGACTCATCCCCTAGGAATCCGGACACCTCCTCCTCCTCCTGCCCAGGGAGGTCGCCTCCCACGCAGCCCCTGCCCTCGGTACAAAGCGAAGAAACCCAGGACCGCCCGGATATCCTGGAGTGGACTCATCGGTTACAATTTTAGGGAAAAAACAACATTGATCGGTATCGATCCACAGCGGACACAGTACACGAATTACTGCATTATATGGCAGCTGCTAGTTATGCAAAAAAATGTTGCAGATTTTATACAAACCTGTGTATATCGCATATACTAACATTGCTTAAAATCTAAAATGTGTAATCTGTGAACGTGAGCAGATGAAACAACATAGAAATGCATGCATTTCATAAACATTGGCGAAAATCCATTGTTTGTAATAGAAATTCCCAAAATACGTACTCCTTTAATAGTGAAGTACAACATATCAATTATCCTTATTATAATTATTAGAGCAAATATTGTATACCTAACATTATATATTTGGGTAGAATGCATTATACAAACATCTTATTCCCAAGATTTCTAAGACGTGCAGAACTAACCCGTTAAATGTCATCATTCCAAAACACCTCTCAGGATAAGATGACGAATGACGTAAAATGCTGATAAGAATCATATATTGCTAAGCGAATTTACTGATGACAAATGCAAAATGTAGCATGCTGTTAAATATTTGTAAGTGAAATATTAAAATGTACAGTTCTCTTTTTTTTTTAAATAAATGAGGCTTACTCCAGAGTTGTGATTTCTATCATACATTTTGCATCGTCAGCGTTAAATCTTTAGTGCAATCAGCATATGCATTATTATGTATATTTGGTGTATGTATAAGCACTCAAAACCAGCAATCATAAGTCAATTTTCATAGAATAATAAACTAAGTTCATAATGTATGCATATATATGGAGATAAAGTCTCCTAATTATCTTTGTACTTCTGTAGGTGATTCATATTGTAACGTGTTGTAAAATTTCACATGCAATAAAAGTTTATGAAGCTTTCCCATTTCCCTTCTTCATAAAGGAATGGAGGGTTAAAACTACACTTCCCACAATTCCACACGGGCTGTCTGAAAACGAAACATTCACGCGCCACGAGCTCCGGCAGCCCTCACGCTGCTGGTGCGCTGCTCGGCTAAGCGGCTGGCCGAACCTAACACGCTTTTGGCGGGTGTCCGGCTTTCGGCTCTGCGTCGCGTTACAACTTTTCCTTCTTTCAGGTTTTTCCCCCCCAACAAGAGCCGACATTATGGCCGAACCGATAGCGGCGATGTGCGACGAGCTAATTAAAGCCGTAAACGTGATGATGGACGCGGCGTCTAGCCAACGATACCGCCTGGAGGCCCTTAAGGTAGCTAGTTGGTTAGTTAACTGGATAACTGGTCATATCTCTTACTGGTTATTTTCAGCGACCGCCCGTATTTACGGGTATTCGTGTCCGTCCGGGTCAACCTCTAACGAGATTTATTCACAGTTGTCCGTGTCGTGGTTGGCTAACGAGCTAACCGGCAGACTAACGATGATTCATTCAGAATGAATGGGAAGTCGCTCGCGCGGTGTGGTTGCTGTGCCAACGTGGAGTGCGGGGTTAGCCTCCCTGGCTAGCTAGCTAACGGAATCACGCCGGGGAGGAAACTCGCATAACTGCCATCTGTGGATCGCCTTGGTTACAGGGCGGTGCTGTCCTCTAAGGGTTTTTTTGTTATATGGCGTAACGAGAATGCCGTTATATCTGTGGGTTAACGATGCAGCGACTGAGGACACCTGTCACTGAAACGTGGAACGATTAATCTAATCAAAATACTACGGAAAATGCCACTTCCAGCATGACACCCAGTTCATTATGTAAACCTCCTGCCCTCCATCTCTGCAGTTTTGTGAGGAGTTCAAAGAGAAGTGCCCCTTCTGTGTCCCCTGCGGTCTGCAACTCGCAGAAAAGTCGCAACCAGCAGTAGTGAGACACTTCGGCCTTCAGATTATAGAGCATGTCATCAAGTGAGTCATATTCCCACCACATGCGCCATTTGCCATGTTAGCTTTAGCTGCCTTTGGCATGGTACTGAACAATACTGCTTTTGCTGGCATTGCTCTGAAACAAAGTGTAATTGCATATTGTAACACTGTGTATCGTTGCAATATGTGTGAAGAATTTTCCTTTTAATGTAAGATTTCGCTGGAACGACATGCCGCAGAATGAGAAGGTTCAGCTGAAAAACTGTGCCATGGAATTGTTATCAAATGTAAGTCCGGTCCTTGGTGCATTTTTCTCATAATGTCCGCAACCCCAAACTTTTAAAATAAAATTATCATGAACCAGAGTTTCGCTTGTGTAATGCAGGTTATTTATAAGGTGTTGTCTTGGATGTAGGGCACACATTCCATCTTGGAAGAGGAGAGCCACATTAAGGACGCTCTGTCCCGCATCGTTGTGGAGATGATCAAACGCGAGTGGCCCCAGCACTGGCCAGACATGCTGAAGGAACTAGAGGCCCTTACCAATTTGGGGGTACGTCTGACCTGATCGCCACGTGTCACGGTGCGGTAGGTGTGATTTGGCTTGCTGCTCCAGATTAGCTGCCGTCAGCTTCGCAAGAAGTGATGTCATGCGGTGGGTAATATGGCTGTGCGATCTACGAAGGTGTAGCCTTTGTAGGCTGTGTTCTTACAGGGTCGAAATGGGACGGCTTGCCCTGTGGATAATTTCCAGCTGTTCCCGCCCTTACCCTTAAGTCACAAAGCGCCGCTCCTATTGCCTAGCTGGTATGCACCCACTTTACCTCTGGGCAGTGAAACTTGGGATATGTTCAGTTGCAAACCTGGCAAAGGAGCATGCATTTCTAGCATGCATTTTCTGTTTGAAGAGCCTTCCGAATGGGACATCCTTGTCGTGCCACTTTGATGCATTCGGCCTTAGAATGCAGCCTTAGGAGCTTGCAGCCTTGACACAGCCATTGACTTGCACCTTATATACAAAGCAGTGATGGCTTGTGAAACTTTATGTAATGTAGTTAGATGAGCACTGACATTTCCACTCTTTTTATTTGAAAACAATGAGTCAGGAAATAATCCCCCCCCCCCACACACACTTTCTCCCTCCAACCCCAGGAGGCCCAGACAGAGCTGGTGATGCTGATCTTGCTCCGGTTGGCCGAGGACGTGATCACCTTCCAGACGCTGCCCAGCCAACGTCGCAAAGACATCCAGCAGACGCTCACTCAGAATATGGACAGTATCTTTGCCTTCCTGCTCGCCATCCTGCAGCAGAACGTGGACGAGTACCGCCGCCTGGTCAGTACCGCTCCCCCCTACCCCACCCCCACTCCATTTCGCCCCCTCATCTGTAAAGCTACACATGACTGTTTGAAGTAATGTATATGTTGAAATGTTGACCTTCGGCAAGGAAGATTTCATTAGTATTTATTGCTTTAGTAATGATATAAAACTGCATATAAAAGATTGTGTATGGGAAGGCATATAATATGCCAGAATTTTCATTAAAATATCTATGTCAGATCTTTTTTTGGATGAAGAGAAGTGTGACCTCCTTTAAAATGAATGTTTCTTTTACAGAAACGAAATCTCAGTCAGGAATTGAAGGTAGGTAAAACTCCTAGAATTTTTTTGTTTTTGACATGCATGGTCACCAAAAAAATATTGTGGTCAATAGAATGACAGTTGGCAATTGGTGGGAAGCCGACTCCACTAGTCACCTGACCCTCCATTTGGTTCCCCTCCCCTCCGACTCAGGCCAGGGCGCATTGCCGGGTCGGCGTGGCGACGCTGAACACCCTGGCGGGCTACATCGACTGGGTGGCGTTGATGCACATCACACAGGACCAGTGTCGTCTGATGGAGATCTTGTGTCTGCTGCTGAGCGAGACAGAGCTGCAGCTGGAGGCGGCCGAATGCCTGCTGATTGCCGTCAGCCGCAAGGTGGGACCCTCGGATGCATTTAGGCCTCATGCGGATGATGATGGGGGGGCTGTGTGGCTCCATTTCTAGGGCTCTAGGTCCTGGTTGCTCAAGCATTACCTCGACCAAAAGACCTCGTTAGAACCACTTAAGACAAATCTTAGTTTTGTTATTGGTCTCAGTTTGAAACATCTAGGAATTCATGGACCTATATATGTTTAAACCAGGCAGTGTGACTTTGGACTAGTTTACCCCCCAGTCCTTTGGGGCTAAATCGTATCTGATGATTGCAACGCTGAAATTAAACTCAAAACATCTCTGTTCAGCAATATGAATGGGTAGAGGTACATATGGCTTTTGAATGCATGATGTTGAGGTAATCGTTTTCTCCCTGGTGTCTATATCAGGTCCAGTCATATTCTTTGATTAGAGCTGCATGACGTTGTAAGAATTGAATTCATTAACACCCCCCCCCCCCCCTTTCCCAGGGTAAGCTAGAAGACAGGAAGCCCCTCATGGTGCTGTTTGACGACGTGGCCATGCACTACATCCTGTCAGCCGCTCAGTGAGTATCTGCGTTCCTGGTCCCTTTTCCCTGTGGAACTCTTGTCATTTCACTCTCCGCAGAGGAAGTGATGTCACAGCCTCTGTCCTATTCTCTGCCAGCTTGGTTCCTCTTGATTGGCTAAGCTGTCTGGTAGTTCCCATGTCATGTGGGTGTGTGCAGTTTTATGCAAAATCCTGAAGAACTGACATAATAGTTTTTTGTGAATTGTTTCAGAGTTTTCTATGGTTTGGAATTAAGGAACGTAAAAACCCTCACAAACATTTGTATACATTTGTGGATTACCAAGAAGGTTCACAGTGGCTTTCTGCTGTGCTATTGCCTCTGTCATCCACTCCTCTTGTCTCTGGTCCAGATCTGCAGATGGAGCAGCGATGGGCAACAAACTCTCACAGTGAGTCCGGGCATTTTAAGCAAATCAGTGATTTGTTTGTGTTCCTATCACTAGTCTGTACGGTTTTGTATGCAACACTATAATGAAAAAACGTTCCACGTTGTGAATAACGGCGTTGTATCGCATCATTCAAGGCAAAAGCCACCTCATCAGACAATTCGGTTTAAGTGCTTTCCACGATTCACGATGTTTCTCAGTTCATAGTCAGCGCTTATGTGTCTGACCCAGGTCAACAGAGGGAGGCGTGCTGGTCGAGAGACACTACACCTTCCTGAAGAGGTTGTGCCAGGTGCTGTGTGCGCTGGCATCTCAACTCTGTGCCCTGGTGGTAAGAACTCTCCTAGGAATCTCTGGCTGTATTCGGAAGCTTGTTGGTTTCAACCCCACAATAGGGGGGAGTTTGACGTATCACCATCAGGACCTTAAGCAAGACCTTTTGCTCCAGCTGCTCCTGACCCTGCGCTTTCCTCACTTGAGCATTAGTCTGCTAAATACATAATTGTTTTGTAAATGTGTGTGCGTTTAAGTATGCTGAGAGTAACTGCAGTGAACCTTCCAGCTGTCTCCTGTTTGTTTGGCCTTTTCTGTAGGGCTCTGATATCGACGTAGAAGTTCCTGGTAACCTTAACAAGTTTGTGGAAGCGTTTCTCGCCTTCACCACTCACGCGAGCCAGGTGACCTACCCGCCTTGTACCTGGTTGCTTTTAATAAGATTCCATCATCAATAAGCAGAAAGTATGATCATGTTATTTAAAGAGTGAAGGTTCTGTCTTGAATGAATGGTCCGTTATTTTAACCAGTCTGGTCGATGTGTCCAGTTCTTAAGGTCATCCACCCAGCTTACGTGGGGCATGTTGTTCAGACACGAGCTTCTCTCCAAGCATCCTGTTATTGTGGAGGTGACCAGCAAATACATGAGAGCCACCATGACCAACTTCGTGAAGGTATTTTCCACCTCTCCACCCTACCATGCTGCCCTGGCCCAGTCCACTGTCCTCTGTCACTGAGCTGGTATAATGGTATACCTGGTCGTTTCTCCTCCACAGACCGGCTTCCCCTCCAGAAATGACAGTCTCAGTTGTCAGTATTCCCGCGTGGACTTTGACAGCGACGAGGATTTCAACGCCTTCTTCAACTGTGAGTCTGTGCTCTAAGGGGACACGCTGTCCTCTACCTTGCTGTTTTTTCACTCCTTTTCCCATAGTCCCAGCCCAGATGAGGCAGCCTGATTTGTGCCATCTCTGCCTGATGTGCCAGGCCACAGTCCAGATGTTTGCTGTAACAGCTAGAACCTAGAATGATCTAGGATACATAGGGATCTCAAAGAGAGGTTTGGAGCCACAGATATAGGGCTTTGCGCTCTTGCTTCTTCAGCTTAAGGTTGCGACCCTCTGACCTCTTAACTGTCCTGCTCCCCCACCCCTGACTCTCTGCAGCTTTCCGGGCTCAGCAGGGCGAGGTCGTCCGCATAGCCTGCAGGATCATCCCCCTAGAGGCCTTCCAGATCGCGGGCGAGTGGCTGCAGTACCAGATCAAGACGCCCATCGAAGTCGGCCCAAATATCTGTGAGTGTGGGAGGAGGCAACTCGGACCCTGGTCTAGCTGGGGTGGAGAGTTGGGGCGGGCAGGGGGGGGCTGCTTAAAGTGTGCAGTTAGGAATGGGAGGGGAGGAAATGGTTAGGGGAAATTCCTGTGGCCTAGAGCAGTGGAACAGAACAGGCAGACAGTACAGCTGGAGGCTCTATAAGCTACCCACTGCCTATTTCAGCAGGCCTGGAGGTCTAAGCTTATCCCTGATTATTGAGATAGAGGGGGTGGTAGACATGGAAGATTCATTATCTTGTATCCTGGAGTTGCACTGCGCATAAAGATCCATGAGTCTGTTTACACATAGTCAGCAGTTTGACATAGTGTTTGGAGTCGTACCCTGCGGCCAGTATTGTCATCTCTGCCCCCCCTCCCCCCCCACCCTGCAGCAAAGACGGCCGAGGGCCTCTGCTCCATCCTGTCCCCGTCCGTGGTGCAGTGGGACGCCATGACCTTCTTCATGGAGAGCATCGTGGGACAGCTCTTCAAGAATGTGGAGACTGAGGTAACAGAAACTGGGACTCAGTTCAAACTCACTGTCCTTTAATGTTTGAGGTGGGGGGAGGGGAGTTGGGTGCTTAATTCTGTGATGTCAGAGTCGTAATTTGTCACCGTGATGTGTGGTGTTTTTTTGTTTTTTTTTCACCTTGACTTTTGGCTTGAAGTTGGAGAGAAGCATTGTAGACATTTCCTATATATTTTTAATATTTATACTTGTATTTATTTATTTTTTTCCTGTTTTACCTGGACAGGTAGCATATGAAGTACAAGCTGAAAATGATTGGTTGATCCTATGCCCCCCCCCCCTCCCCAACTGCAGAAACTCCCCGTAGACCAGGGGTTTGAGCTCTTGCAGGCAGTTCTGAACTACGAGACCCGGGACCCTCTGATCCTGTCCTGTGTACTGACCAACGTGTCGTCCCTCTTCCCCTTCGCCACATACAAGCCACACCTAGTTCCCCAGGTGCTGGCCAAGGTGAGCTCCACTCCCCCCCCCCCCCCAAGTCATTACAGGAAAAGCTTTTACTTCCTTCAGTGTATCTTCAAGATATTTGTCATATGCACAGTAAACTGGCAGTTACTCTATGCAATGAAAATATTACCCCTTGTCTTTCCAGCCCCCCCATAAGCAAAACTTAGACACAGATCACAAATACAAATGAAGGTGCTTTTACAGTAAGACAATAAATATGATTTCAACTGCTTAGATGCAGTGCAATGTAAACATAATGCAAATATAATATTTTGCATATATGCTTTGCAATATCTTTGGATGGATGTTTAGAAGTATTTCGCATTTCTTTGAATGAACAAAATGAATGAAATGAAATATATACATTTTGTACAGTGGTTTTAGTGACGTGTTTCCTCAAACCGCTTTACCACTCAATACAACATTTGAAGTGGTTAAGAAAAGCATCAGCCAGGCCGCACCGTGATTTTCAAAGGCCGCTGGGTCAGGCAGAGTGGTAACGCGCAGTCAGGTCTCGTTATATCTGCTGCACCTTGTTTCCGCTTTGTAAAGCTGCATCTCTCTCCCTCTGTGGAGTGTTACATGTATTTTTTTTTCTGTCTTAGCTCTTCACCTCCATCACGTTTGAAGTGGTTGAAGAAAGCAAGGTGAGCCCCTCTCAGCTTCACACAGCCCTCCATCTTCCAACCTGTGGTTCAGGTCAGACCTTGTGGTTGCATCGCCTTAAAGCCTGGTTTACCGTGAAGGTCATGTGCGCCCCGCTTTGGGGAACACCTGTGACTTTCAGAATGTTCAGAATGTTGCAGCCTATCCTGCGTAGCCCTGGCTGGCCAAACAAATGCCGCGATTGGCCAGTGACTGCGGTTGACCTGCAGCTATTGGTTGACTGGTTGGCAGGCGCCGAGGACCCGCGCCGTGAAGAACGTGCGGAGACACGCCTGCTCCTCCATCATCAAGATGTGCCGAGACTACCCACAATTCATCCTGGTGCGTATCCAGTCGGCTCGTCTCTAACAAAGACCTAGTCAGGAAGTACATATGTGAAAGTCAAAGTTCTGAACCGGAACTACCGAGCCTTGTTCCAAGATGTCGCTTTGTTAATAAGCTTGCTGGCTAATACTTTACACATTTGTGTGTACCTTCCCACAGCCGTGCTTCGACATGCTCTACACCCACGTCAAGAAGCTCTTCTCCAACGAGCTGCTGCTCACCCAGATGGAGAAATGTGCACTGATGGAGGCACTGGTGCTCATCAGCAACCAGTTCAAGGACTACGCTAAGCAGAAGGCCTTCCTGGAGGAGCTCATGGCCCCTGTAGTCCTCCGCTGGCAGTCGGAGGAGATGCACCAGTACGTCTCCCTTGAGAACTATTGAGTATCTTAGCCTGAAACATGACCTCCAGTTGAATGTCCATTGATATTAATTTTACAAACGAAACATTGAACGGTTTCATACGTCTTGGTTTCTCTTTATTTTCTTGGTGATCTCCTCTCCAAACCAGCTCCTTACACCAGGATTCTGTCGTCTTCCCATCTATCACCCCCTGCTTCCCAGTCGCTGCTGGCTCATTGTTAAATGTCCCATCCCACAGAATATTGATGGACCCTATGTCGTTCCTGTCCTTTGTGGGAGCCGATCAGGTTTTGAAAGACCCCAACGTTGAAGACCAGACGGGAATCAACAGGTCCAGGGTGAGTGAGCACAGCCCACTCTGATGCTTCTCTTACCCCTAAGACAGTTGTGATTCAGCGCAAGGTATAATTCTTATTTAATATGCTTTTTTTCCCCCTAGAAGTAGGGGTTAAATATCAGTAATGGTCATTTAGGATTGGTTGAATTGTGAAATCCATTTCCATGTGCTCAGTGGTGACTTGAATGCGATGTGATTGGTTGCTGAGGAGCATATGGATTCTGATTGGGTAAGTCAGGTGTGGGAATGTAGCAGGTGCTGCTGGGTCTCTGCACACACTGGACTGGTCCTAATCTCTGCCTCCAGGGAGGAACACTCTAGTCTCTTCTGCCTTCCTCCCTTGCCTCTGCTGTGTGTGTGTGTTTGTTCGCTCCTTCGAATCTGCTGTCCCTTTTCGTTTGGCCTCATTTAGTTTATAATAACCCCTCCCCTCTGCCTCCCCCCCCCCCCGCCCCCCCCCCCCCCCGTCTCTGCTGTAGATCAGCTTTTGTGTATACACCATTTTGGGTGTGGTGAAGCGTGCCCGCTGGCCCGCCGATGTGGAGGAGGCCAAGGCCGGCGGATTTGTGGCCGGGTACACCCCGGGCGGCGGCCCCATCTACCGCAACCCCTGCACGCCGCAAGTGCAGGCGCTGCTGCCCAACCTGCTGGCGATTATCAGGTGGGTGCAGGTGCGCGTGAGCAGCCCCACCCAACCCATTCCGGTCTGGGGAGCCGCGTCCTCTCGTGGGTCGCCATGGAGGACGAGCCCCGTCGGCCGGGGAAGTGGGGGAGCTACCTCACCTGACACAGCACTGCCCTCTGCTGGTCAAAGCAGCTGGTAGTACTGAAGGTCTACTTTAAAATACCCAAAAGGGGGCCTGCCTATGTATCTTCCGGGACCTCCTCTTCCACTGGCTGAAAGTGGGGGAGTGTGAGCCCGGAAGTCCGTTACCTTAGAAACCACAGCGACGGGTAGTACAGCCTTTCTTTCAGCCAATGAGAGCCTGCGCTACCAGGTTAAGGCAAAGCATGACTCACCACTTGTCTTTCTGTCTTTTTTTTTTGACATTCTGCTTCTGGTACATCACCCCCTTTTTTCTTTTTTTCTTCTTTGGTTAAAAAGTCACCTCTTTTTGATTTGTCTGGTTACCAACATGGGGGTGGGTTGGAAGGTCATCATTGGGCCTTAATGTGGGGTTTCATTGAATGATGCAGTTTTCTGTTGTCTGTGATGGCAAAAATTGACTTGGTAACGGAGCATGTAAGCATGCTGAAGTTGTTCTTTTTCAGGTAAGTTTTTGGGCGGAGTTTCTGAAATAAGTCCCTGCCTGGAATCTTTGCTGTTAGGCTCAAAAGCCACATGATTTCCATAGTTTGTGGAAGTAGAAATAGTTATTTTATCACTAACATTAATATGTGAATCTTGAACTTGTGCCTTGAATTCAGGCACTTCTGTGAACCCTGGGTCATTTTCCAGAAATCCTTCAGAGGAAAGTTACAAAATGAAACCCTCTGAGAGTATATATCCCTAATAGAAACATTGCTGCATGTTTGACTGCCTCTTGGTGGGCCGAGGGAAGATCTTTTGGTGGGCCGAGGGCAGGCCTCTTGGGGGGCCGAGGGCAGGCCTCTTGGGGGGCGGGGCTCTCAATGCCAGTCTTTCAACAGGACCCACAACAGCCTGTTCCTGTCAGAGAACGTGGCCCGGCTGAGCGAGACCTTTGCCAGGTCATACGACGTCATGGATGTAGAGAAGAATGTGGTGCTGGGTAAGGGGGCTCCGTAAAACGTGTCAGATGGAGCTAGGAACACTAAGGTTAACGATAAAGCCTGTGTAATACTCAACCTTATAAATGGGAGAAATTCAGTCCATTTGCATGAAAATCTTGGTAAGGTCACATGTTGCTCCATTGCGAACTGAGGGCTGGTGATCCTTCACAATGCCCCCCCCCCCGTTGACATTTCTTTCCCCCACAGGGCTTCCACAGCCAGTGCTGGATAACTATGACTCCCCTGTGTATAAGACGTCTCTGGAGCGCATGCAGGGTTTTTTCTGCACGCTCTACGATAACTGGTGAGGCTGCCGTCTGCATAGGCGTCTGTCTTTTCCCCCTCGCACCCTGGCCCCTCTCACCCGCCCCCTCCTGATCTGGCAGCTTCCATATTCTGGGCAATGCTGGCCCTTCCCTGCATCAGGACTTCTACTCCATCGAGGGTCTGGCGCAGCAGCTCACTAGCGCCGCCCTAGTGCACCTGGACCACGTGCCCGATCATCGCTTGCGGTCCATGCTCCATATCCTTTCCCATGTGAGGGATCATTACGGCGTGTGCTGGATGGGGTTTAGTGGTGTCTGGACCACACCGATGTATGTTTTTAATATCTTTGTGCGTTCTTTTTGCTTTTGACTTTGTTGTACAGCATTAGCTCTCCATCGCCACTTTGCAGTTGCGTTCCTTAACGTTACTGTGCGAACGGGTCTTCGTGAAGCAGTTGGTGATCTCTTGCCCCCAGGAGTATTATGACAGCCTGCTCTGCCCCCTGCTGGCTCCCCTATTTGCCTACCTGCTGCAGGTAAGGCTCACTTGACCTCTATCTCTGTCAGAACCAAGCCCTTATTTTGACTGGAAAATATCACTTTTGTATGCAATCGACAAACCAGATGGAGTTCTGTTTATGGTACTTTTATAATCGTTAAATTAAATTATCCTTCTAGTTATATCCATAATGCTGACTGATGTTTGACTTACTGTGTTGTGTCTCCCTTCTAGAGGTTGAATCAGAGCTGGCAGGTGATTAACCAGAGGAGCAGTCTGTGGTAAGATATGTGGTCTGGGCCCTTCTGGGTGTGAGCAGGCTGTGAGTGTTGTGGGCTGTGAGATGGTGATTGAAGGTCTCTCTCTATCGCTCTCTGTCTCTCTCTCACTCTCTGTCTCTCTCTCTCTGTCTCTCTCTCGCTCTCTGTCTCTCTCTCGCTCTCTGTCTGTCTCTCTCGCTCTCTCCCCCTCTCACAAATACAGTGACTCTGAAGAAGAGGAGGCGTGCCATGTGGAGAATCAGGTGACGCAGGAGATGCTGGAGGAGCAGCTTGTCCGCCTGGTCACCCGGGAGGTTCTCGACTTGCTCAGTGAGTCGTCCCCCCCCCTCCACCCCACCCCTCCTGTGTAGAATGTGTGTCTCATACAAACACACACCTTTTTATTCATATCTTTGTGGGGACCATCCATACATTCCTATGGGAAAAACCCTAATCCCAACAATGACAACCTTAACCCTACCCAGCCCTAACCTTAACCACAAGTAACCAAACAAAATACAAGACATTTGGCATTTTTAGTTTTTTGATTGCAGTCACATATTTTTATAAAAATTAGTTTCCCTTGTGGGGACCCAAAACATGTCCCCACAATGTAATATATATAGTACATGCCCACACACGCACACAGAGTAAACGGTAATTACAGAAATTTTGTTCTTCCTTTTGTTTAGTCTGTGAATGGCCTGAACTCTCCTCCTCGGGACTCCAGGAGGATCTGTGATATAAGGTGGCCAGATCTTTGGTTGTCAGGATTAACCACCTACCCTGTTTCTTTGCAGCTGTGGCCTGCATATTAAAGAAGGTTCCAGAAGCTTCCAGCACTAAGGAGGAAGCAGACGGTATGTGTTTACTCTGCTTTCCTCCTCAAATGTCCTACCGCATCTCAAACAAATGCTCGCATGTTCCGTTTTTCTGTTGATTCATCAAACATCCTATTCATTTTTCCCTCCTGGATGAGAATATTTACAGATGCTAAGATGTTTCAAAGGAACAGCAGCGTTTCCTGTCTGCTTAACCGCTATCTCACTTACTGATGAAACGGGCCGATTTATTTAATTTTGGAGGCCGATCAAAAATATTCTCTCCTAATGGGCTCTTGCGCCCCCCCCCCCTCAGAAGAGGAGATGATGGTGGAGTCCTCTCAGGCTACCGCGGCACCGCCAAGCTACGCCACGGACGAGCTGACGGAGCTCGGGAAGTGCCTGATAAGGCATGAGGTAAGAGTGGCGAAGGAGATGTCAGAGGGGATACCGGCTTTCGTGGTGTCTCCTCTGAGCCAGACGTGTGGGCTGTGTCCACCTCCCCAGGACATCTACATGACCCTGCTCACCATCTCCTTCAACTGCCTCTCCTGGAGGGACACGGGCAACTGCCACCGCACAGCCTCCCTGGTGTGCTGGACACTGCTGAGGCAGGTGGGTGCCGAAGCCCGTGCTGCTGAGTCTGTTTAGTCACACCAAGTCCCTCTGACTCATATTGTTCCTACCCTGTATGGTAATTTACTTTTATGCTGTGACTCTTCTTCCTTTTATGACTCTCCTCACTCTGCTGTGACTCTCACTTTTGTCATTCTCTTCCTTGTTGTTCCACTCACACTGCCATGTTTCCACTCTGCTGTGACTCTTTCCTTTTCTCACTTCCCTCACTCTCTTGTGACTCTCCCTTTGTCACTCCGTGGCTTACTGTGGTTCCACACTGCTCTGTTTCCACTTTGCTGTGACTCTTCCTCGCTCTGCTGTGACTCCCTCCTTTTGTGACTTCCCCTTGCACTGCACAGGTGGTCGGGGCCAGCCTGCTCCCCGAGGCCGTGACGTGGTTCTACGCTAGTGTGCTGAAGGGTCTACAGATGCACGGGCAGCACGAGGGGTGTGGTGCCGCGCTCACCCAGCTGGCCTTCCTCATCTACGAGGCCCTGGTGAGCATAAACCACCCCCTATCTGTCCGAACGGACGGACGGATCCGTGTTTCCTTTCACTCACCTGAGCTTTGACTCGCCCTCCACAGAGATCGCGTTACCCCGAGTTGAAGACGGTCATGACTCGCATCCCCAACATTCAACTGGAAGCACTGGACCAGTTTGACCAGAAACTCCAGGCGGGACCGCCACAGAAAGCAGGAGAGAGGAAGAGGAAGGAGCAATTCAAGAAGCTCATCGCTGGAACCGTCGGCGTAAGATGGCCGTTGGTACACTGGGTTCCCAAAAGATTAATGGGGTCTCTCTGACTGGGGTGGTCCAATCGGTCATGACATGGCTGCCCTCGTCTCTTTCCTCACAGAAACCCCTCGGGGAGCAGTTCAGGAAAGAGGTCCACATCAGGAACCTGCCCTCACTCTATAAGAAGGTGAAGCCGGAGGTGACCAGGGATCTTCTGGACAGCGAGAGCAACACACTGACATTGCTCTTCTCCACCGAGCAGAATGATGTTTAGGGAAGAGCAACGAGACACAGATGGGGGGAGAGGCGGCCAAGCATGGCGTGAAGTACCAGGTTCATGGCAAAGGCTGTATCGGAGGTCAGGATTTGTTTTTTTTTTTTTTTTTTGTGACAGTAGGATACAGTGACCCGCTGCTGTTTGAGAGCCGCTCGGCCACCAGGCAAAAAAACAATCTGAGCTGTTACAGATTTCAATGGATGGCCTGGACAGAATGAATGGGGAGGAAGGTGACTGATCAGGAGGTGGGGAGAGAGCGGGAACGGTGTGAGATAAGCTACACGCACTGACTAGGCCTGCAGGCGGTCAGCTGACGTTTTGTTTTGTGGGGCCTGGATCTTTTCTTAAGCAGCTCTATGACTGAGGCTGAAAGCGGTGGCTGTACATTCCATATGTCTGTTTATTCACCATTTCTCCTTGCCTTTTGTTTTTGCCTTTTTATAAATGGTTATTATCAACACTAAACAAAAAGAAACTGTACACAAAACGAGCTTTGCAATGTACGTGCTGTTTATATTTTGAAATTTTAATAAATGTAGTTGTTAAGCTCTTGTTAAGTTTGTCTTGCAAATCTCAATCCAGGAGAATCCAGAACTCGATGCTGGGGTGGGCAAAAATTCTCATTTATTTGTTTCACGTTTCTGTCATACAAGGAAAACAATGAAGGAGAGTTTGCATTTTATTTTATTACATTGATCTTCACCTGCTCTGTTAACCTAAATGAATGATTTTTAATTTTTTTTCATCAAATCAAGCGTCCCGACACTGACTCTTCAGGAGCTTGTTGCTGTTCTCCCAGGGCTGTTCCCACAGGCTGAGGTCACAGAGCAGCGTCTGCAGGAAGTTAGGGGAAACATTGCTTAGTTCTCTTTCATGGTTCCCTGATGATGAAATGAGCTGCTGAACCACGTCCATCATCGGACTCCCTCTCCAACCTTCAAGAAAAACACCTCAAGACCCATCCTCTCCATGAACTCCTCTACTAACCTGAGCCCATTTACACTCCTTCAATGTTCTGCTCCTTGAATAGTCTTATTATGTTCTTGCTCTGTTAGATCTTGTCGTGTAGTTCCTGCTCCAGTCCCTCATGCTCTTGTACCTGGACATTCCCTGGAAGTTCAGCCTAGCTGCACTTACCCCTAGTTGACTCCTTAACAGTGTGTATGTCTGTAATGGGCTATTTGCCTCACTTGTTCATCACTTTGGACAAAAGTTTCTGCTAAATATGTAACTATAGGTACTGAACGTCATCGGCATGTAAACTGTCCAGCCGTAAGCTTTTCAGACGCTCACCTTGGTGTTGCTGTCCTGAGGGCAGGATGTCATCTGCTGGTTTTGCTTCTCACAGCGCCCCACCTCCACCTCCAAGTAAAAGATGACTCCTGCCACCACCTAATTGACAATGGGGAGGGGGAAGGGAAACTGGTGTGTAGAAATTTCTAGAAATTAACCAGACTCTCATAATCACTTGTTCAGTGAAAGCTGGAGGGGGGGGGGGCAAGACTGTCCCAGAATTAGGGAGCGTGAAGCAGGGGTCACCCTGGTCAGATTGCCAGGTCGTCACTGGCCACACACACACGCACGCACGCATGCACGCACGCATGCACACACACACACACACACACACTACAGCCAGCTGAGAGACACCAGACTAAAATAAAGACTGGGAGTGTTTCTAGAGTCAGATCAGGCCACAATCCTGTCTATTAAGCTGCCAAACCAATAGGTGGCAGAAATCTATTCTTAATATGATAAGTGCTTTCTTAATATTAGTGTACATTCATAATGTGATTATTCCAGTTAAATCTCCAATTTATCTATCAGTTGGAAAACCTCTTTATTGACACTCATGCGTTTAGGTTTATACTGCAATCTGTTAGTTTTGGGAAAGTTGTTTAATATTTTCTTCACTACATTTTTTAAAAGTATTCAATTTTCTTACAATGTGTTAAGGCTGCAATTAAAAGCAATTTGAAGTTAGGATGGGTCCTCAAACATTCAACAGCTTCTGAGATCATCGAGACTACGGTCTCACCTGTGTCTTGGCTGAGATGACCTTTCCCAAAGCGTAGAAGTACTTGTCATTTGCCTGTTCATTGTACAATGTCATGGCGACACGAGCGGCATCCATCACTAAGGGGCTATCGGGCGACTGCTCTACGGGTCCTCCAACCATCTGTGCCCCACAAGGGAACGCCAAGAGAAGTGTCACGCAGAGCCACCAAAAAGCCATCGTGAAATCTCAGCTTGCAGCTAGATAAGGTGATGGTGTTGAGCTCTGGCTGGTTTTTATAGCATCCGAAGCCGATCCACCCTGTTCTGCAGAATGCTGACAATGCACAAGCAGTACAAAGTCATACTTGCACAAGCAGTAGTGCAATAACTGAAATGTACATAACATACATCAAATAGGATATCTGAAATGCAGCTGACTTTGTAAATAGAATTGAATTCAATAGAGCTTTGTGCGGTGTGTATTAATGAATAGGTGCTATGTCACAATCAAATATTTTTCCCCATTATGCATTATCTTCTGGATCATTAGTCAATACCATGATACGTGCCTTTCTTAGACCTGCTAATGTCCATATTTGAGTTAAACGACTTCTCTCATAACATATCTGAGCTTGTTAAAATATGCTATTTTACCCTTATTATCTGCCCTTATTTTGCTGACATTCAACAAAAGACAACCTTCCTGTTCTTGACTTTGACCAAATACCGTTTGACTTATGCGTTATGTCACAGAGACAGAAGGTGCAAGCCTCCTTGCAGGAATTTCTTCCCAGTGCTCAGAAATGCCCCAAAAGTAACATATTTAGAATGATGTTTTTTATTCAGGTGATTTAAAAAGCTGTAGAACAGCTTTTATGACCCTAAAGTTTTATTGCATGAAGCTTATTTAGAAACCTTTGTATGAGCTCAGTAGAAAAACTTCTACAGCAGCAGATATTTTGTCTCTGTGAGAAATAACTATTTTTGAAAAGATGGTAACTCCAAATTGTTTGCAAATCACCAAGAAGCTCATTTAGGGTCAATTTTAAGAAGCATATAAACCGAATATCTAATAATTCATGTGCAAGTACAACCCACAAGTTACGTAACACTAGGTTGCACCAAGTGTGAACAGTGAATGGTGATTTTCCCCAAGTTCTTCCGCCAATCGGTTACTTTAGGTGAGTATATTTATGTGGTGTACAGTGCAGCACCGTGCATATGTTGTCGGAAAGGCGGCGCTTTTGTTTCCACGGCGCGCCCTGCGGCCACACCAGGGCCGTGGTAACTGGGCCTCCTTTGACGTGCCCTAGGGCTGGTGTGACGTGCCGCAAGCCACCTGCTTTACCGCACCCGCGTTCAACAGGGAGGCGCTGAGTGAGTGAGCCGCAGGCACCGTGCGGCCGGGCAGGAGCACAGTACAAACAGAAAGCATTACGGAGGGGCGCTGAAGGTCACACGGCTACGGAGAGTCTACGAAAAGCAAATATACGTGAATTTAAAAAGGTAGAGTTGCAAACTGGTTCGACTGATTCACTGAAAAGAACCAGCTCAAAAAGATTCGTTCAGGAATCGGACATGACTAATCTGCATTCTGCCTATTGTCAGATGGTGTTTACATCTCTTTGCTTCTTTCCTGCTCTCTGTGCTCACGTACTGCATTTTAATACAGCTGAATTTCCAATAAAGTTATTCTCGTTTACATTTTTTTTTTCTGTTGTCAGTTATTTGTAACCATACAGTAGAAGACTTTGAAAAGGATCTGAAAAGACTCCTTAAACACTGAAGTGTGACACTCCTTGACGTCTACAGACGATGTCATTAGTCAGTATGGTGTGTGGGTGTTGTTTTGTCACAGCCTCCTGCAGCGTCATTATTCGCAAGACTGCAACTAGATTCCTGGGAGATTTTCTTCTTCCCATCCTGCTCCCGCTGGAAATTTCGCAGGAAAAACTGTTGAACAACGGAACAGAAACAGTAGCAGCTTTTGCCCGCAGCTTCTCTCTTGTGTGTGTTGGTTTGAAATGGCAAAGAAAAGACGTGGCAGAATCTGGTCATGGACCTGGTTGCGTGAACGGATTTCATTTTATATATTACACAATTTGTAATTTTATGCATTTCTATGGTATGTATTTCTATGGTAGTGCGGTAATTTGTACCCTCTTTGCTGCTTCCTGTCTCGTGCTGGAGGGGGAGCATCTATAGGCTGTGTCCAAATTCAGGGGCGGCATCCTTAGTAGGTCTCGGTCTATGAAGGTGTAACTTTTTGTAGGCTGCGTTCTTCAAAGGCTGAACGGGAAGCGTAGTTAAATAAGATGGTCTGGCCCTCACTAGCTGTCCCCACCCTTACCCTTGAGTCACGCTCCTATCGCCTAGAGGGACATGCCCCCTTTACCCCTGTGCAGTGAATCTTGGGATATGTTGAGCTGCGAAGGATCTGTTGAGTGAGCCTATGCTCTGAAGCCCAAGCTATGGAGAGCAAGATGGGGCAACCAAAGAGAAGCGTTCCAGTGTAAAGGATGATGACTATCATTATCATCATTGTTACATAACATTTAATACAGAGGGTAAATTCACTGTCAGAGTAGAGGGATATGAGGTCATCTTTTATAATGTTTACTATGCAGATCACTGACATTAGGTCTGGCAATGCAGGTAATGTAGAGCTGTTTATCCTAGTCCACACATGCACAATGACATTATAATGGTGGCATGTCCAAGTCTGAATCTGTCCCTAATCTTACACTATCATTATTTTAATGATTATTCCACAGATAAACCTAGTAAACAGCGCCCCCTATCGGAAAGGAACAGAGCTGTAAGACCGGGTTCCCTTCAAACAGCTGTTATTCCTCACTATTGATGGTCCTTTCAGTACCGACGCATTGCAGCTCATTGTGCCCACCCCACACGGTGTCAAATAAAAAAGATAACCCCCCTCCCCATTCAGTTCCCTCAAAAGCACTACTTATTTGCAGAAGCAAGCTTCTTTATTTCCCCAAGAATCCCCACACAAATGTTTATCTCGTAGAATATTGTGTTAACGCCAACGACATGGATTCAAATTCCAGAGAGCACAGCCGAAATGTAAGCCTTCTCTCTACTCTGAGCTGTTCTAGATAAAAGTGTCAGATGAATGAACTAAAAAACATCTTGTTTAATATACTTCCCACATGTTATGGATCCGGGCGGGTTTGACACGAGGACGGGGCATAGTGCAAGTCGGAACAGAAATGGACGACCCACTGATGGCTCACAGGACAAATGGGGATTCATTAAACAAACAGAAAAACACAAGAAACACTACAAAATAAAAAGACCACGAGAGGTCAAAAGTAAACAGGGATAAACAAAGACTAATTACAAAATGGGGCAGATGAACGGGCAGATGGATGGGCAATATCCAACATACAACAACGAACCACTGGGGAACTAAACTCAGGCAGGAACTTAAATACAAAAACTGAACGGGGTAATGACAAGCAGGAGTGACAGACAACCAGTTGGGGAGGGTTAGGACAACGAGCAATCAGGAAAACACACTATGGCAGGCAAGAGGTGGAACTAATACTTAAACTCAGGGAACTCTAACAAAGAAACCAAGAAACGAAATCTACACCAGGGGAATAACAGACAGGTAAGAACGCAAGCACGGGCACAAAACATGAAACCAAAACCAAATACAAATCACAAGACACAGGAACAAGAAAAGCCATACAAATGAAACACTAGGGAACAAAATACAAAAACATAGGAGGCAGGATTCAAACACAAGATAGAAGGGATCACAGGCATCACAGGCATCCATATGCTCAACAAGTTGAGCCATGCGGCTGTCAGAACAAAGGGGAACCACCAAGACTGACAACACAAGGGACAGGATGACCAGCAACACCTGCTGGCCAAACGGGGAAGGGACACAGAGTGGGACAACAAGAGCTGACACTGACAACACATATGAATTTGTGCAGCATAAATTTAATATATAAACAACGTCTAGACATTGGTTAGCTAAGTTTTGGATAACTCTCAAATTCAAACTAATGTACATTTGTATTGGTGTCCCCAAAATCCCAAGCATGCCTCGATGAGAAGGGGTTGGTGTATCTCACCCAGGCTGTCCGTTATAACGTCTGCCATCCACCAGATGTCGCTGTTTAACAGCAACACTTTTCCCGCCACTTTGAGAGCGATGCCTCCTGTGCTTTATGAAGCTTCATCTGCCCATCACTACTCACAACTATTTGGCGACAGCCAACGTTCAGTCTACTAAGGGCTTCCCTCTCCGGCAGGCAGCTGCTGCTGGTGAGAGTGTCGTTTGTGTTGCTCAGCTCTGAGTGAAGTGGTCTTTGGTTTAAGGCCGCAATGCTCCCCAGCAACAGTTTGGGCAACAATGCATAGAATGATTTACCTAACTGTTTGTTTGTTAGGTGTGGGCCTACAATTGCTGTAGTTCCAAAAAGAGTTACTAGTGGTATTCATGGTAGTGTGCAAAAGGTGTTCTTGTATGTAATAACCAATGTTTTTACAGACTGCTGAAAACGAAACAAGCACTGGGCGTGGAGACATTTGGCTGATGCCTGATCCATCTAATAGGTATGAATCGGTGCGAATATTGGATCTAAAATTTAGTGGAATATTATCCAGTGTTTAACATATATTACATCAACTCTATATTAAAATCATATGAACTACTAGGCCTATTTATAATGGAACTTGTTTAAGCCAAGTGTAAACAGATTTTTACAGAATTATATGTTAATTTAGTAGTCTAAATAGTCTGATTTGGGAACCTTGTAAATAGAAAGTTCCTAAACCTAAGACAAGGACAGAGAACCCACCCCTATTCTAGTCCAAAGGTGTCAGGAGTTCTACGCACAGAGTGACACCCTTTGGGAAATACAACACGGGTAGGTAAGAGGGAAGCGATACGTACAACTTAATGCTGTTTCATTAAAAATAAGGATAGCCTTAAATGTGGCTCAGGGTGTTTATTATTATGCATTAAATAATACTGAAGATAAGATACTGTGCATGTAATACCGATTATGCAACTGTAGGTATGCCAATGTGACCTAATCAGAGCTGTGTGTTTTTTGAGGGGACCTGAGTTTTAAGTGGTACCATACTTAAGTAAGATGTGCATCTCCATCCGCCTTGTCACCCTGCGCGGGTTCTGCGGGTTCTGCTGTTAAACAGACACCATGTTTTCCAGAGGTTGCTGTGTTGTACTGTGGTCAGGGGATGTGCTGACAGTCCCACTCACCCACACTGATACCGCCACTCCCACACACACAGGGCAGACTGATTTAAGCCCCTTGGACTGGTTTCCTTTACTGCTCCCATCCCCCCCACCCCCACCTATAAAGCCAGACAGTTGTTTTCCTGTGAATAAAATCTCCTGCCAGAATGAAGAATGTCTAATTGCAAATGGAGTAGTGCAGGATTCTGGCTTGGAATTCTCAGCAACTAACAAAATAAAACTTTAAATATAAGGTTTTGGCTTGTTCACCTGGTCACTCAGGAAGTCCTGGCCTTGCTCACTCAGGGACCCACAGACAGTCCACGTTTATGCTCCCTCCCAGCTCCCTAGCAAAAACGTGGACTGTCTGTGGATTGGGAAACACTGAACTGAACAACTACAATTGAACATGACTAGCACAGTTAGGTCATGGAAGTGACCAAGGAGTTGCAAGTGAGCCAAGAAAATATCCCCCACACCGTTACACCACCAGCAGCCTGAATTGTTGCTACAAGGACGGATGGATCCATGCTTTCATGTTGTGTGTGAGATAAGCTACACGCACTGACTAGGCCAGCAGGCCGTCAGCTTACGTTTTGTTTTGTGGGGCCTGGATCTTTTCTTAAGCAGCTCTATGACTGAGG